CCCAAAGCTCATAGTTAACAACATAAAGTAACAAAATGCATAAAATCTGTCTTTCTCATTTGAATTGCACTGTCAAGCTAACAATTCCAACTTTGATTCAAAGTGAAAGTGGAAATATGACAAATTTGGGCTTATCGCATGAAACTAGTCTACTGTTGTCTTTTCATAAGTCTGAAACTACTGCTGCAGATTTCCAAATATAGTCAGATGAGTGGGTGTCCACTGAAGCCACGAGAACACTTTTTGTCCCCGAAGAAAGCAAAAATAATGACTTTATTTAACAATTTGTCCAATTTGTTTACGTATGTGATACTCTCCAAAATGGCACCAGGATGACGCGGAGGAGACCAATTTTTAAATAAAGTCATTATTTTTTTTCTTTGCGCACAAAAAACTATTCTCGTAGCTTCGTAAAATTACGGTTGAACCACTGATGTCACATGGATTATTTTATCGATCTCCTTGCTACGTTTCTGAGCCTTGATCGTGTAAGGATCCTTGCTGTCTATATGGGAGGGTCAGAGAGCTCTTAGAATTCATCAAAAATATCTTAATTTGTGTTCTGAAGATGAAACGAAGATCTCACAGGTTTGGAACGACATGAGGGTGAATAATTGATGACATAATTTTCACTTTTGGGTGAACTATCCCTTTAACATTTATACATCCTATTTATTTCTTGTTTTTATGTAAATGTATTGATTTATGCATAATTTATATAGATTTTATTTGACATATCTGTTAACTATAAGAATTTATTCTAATACATAACACATTTTTGTACTCGTACTTAACGTATATAGATTCTGTTTATTTTTTGTGGTCTTTTAAATAATTTAACAATTATCCTGTTGTGTTAAAAAAATTGCTTAAAAAATTGTATAAATGATCACAATAGTGTTAAGAAGAACATATCTGAAACCACACAATTTCCTTTCTCCCTTCCTTATTTTATTTATTTATTTATTTTATTAAAAAACACCACAGAGAGTGAATGTGCTTACACCACTGTAGACATTACTAATGAGAGCCGTAATGTGAATTACAGTATATGCCTCTGGCACTTCTCGTTATAAATACATATGTATCATCACGGCAGACTGGGGTGCACATGAGAAAGCATCACACTGTAAGCAAATGGTTCGTACATTTTCTTCAGCAGTGTCATCTACACCAACAGAGCCCAAAGCTCATAGTTAACAACATAAAGTAACAAAATGCATAAAATCTGTCTTTCTCATTTGAATTGCACTGTCAAGCTAACAATTCCAACTTTGATTCAAAGTGAAAGTGGAAATATGACAAATTTGGGCTTATCGCATGAAACTAGTCTACTGTTGTCTTTTCATAAGTCTGAAACTACTGCTGCAGATTTCCAAATATAGTCAGATGAGTGGGTGTCCACTGAAGCCGACTCTGCCCTAGTTATTCAAATCGGGACATCCAAACACACACTGCTTGTCATGTCCTTTTCAAGCTGTCCCTTCAGAAAAGCTCACCTCAGTGAGAACAACAGCAAGATCAAGACCATGTCTGCTTATGAACAATCATGATTTAAAGGCCATGTGTTCAAATAAATATACTTAAAGCTGGCATTAACTTGGCAAAGAACATTGAAGCGCCTTCACACAAGCAAGAGTTACATTGTACTGAATATCAAGTCTGATATTCAGGACAAAACAACATGATTGCTTTTATACTGCTGTTATACAACAACTATAAAGACATTCATATTACATAACATACACTACTATTCATCAATTCAAGTCTGGGGTCGGTACGTTTTTTTTAATGTTTTTGAAAGTCACTAACGCTCAGCAAAATACAGTAAAAAGAATAATATTGTAAATAATATGTGTTTTCTATTTTAATTTATTTCTGTGATGAATTTTCAGTGTCTTCAGTGTCACATGATCCTTCAGAAATATGCTGGTTTGGTGCTGAATTAAAGTTTCATAATATTTTGTTAAAAACAGTTTTAAGTGCTGCTTAAGTTTTTGTCAATGCTATGATTCATTTTTAATAGAGCGTTCAAAAAACTGCATTTATTTTATTGGTTTATTTTTTGTATTGTTGCTTTTAATCAATTTAATGCATCCTTGATGAATGCAAGTATTAATTTTTTTCTCAAAAAAAAAAAGGGAACTTTTGAACGGAAGTGTAGTAGGCCTATTTCTGATTGTTATTTTTTTTAAAGAAATATCAGCATTCTTGGAACGCCACTTGTCCAATCAAATTAGAGAAACAAATGTAACTGCTGTCTAAAGCCATTTAATAAATGTTTTTCCATTTTAGTTAGTATTCACCTTAGGCCCAAACATTTTAATACTTCCTTTTTCATCCAGACCTGTGCTAAATATACTTTCAGATTCACAAGTGCTAATAAAGGTGGAGTTAAAACAATGACAAAAACAACAACATACGAACAGAGAACAAGCGGTGAAGTATTTTTGGGAAAACAGCTACTTGGTTAATGCGTCTGAGGCAGAGCAGTGGCCTATTCAGGTATCTCTCAGGTGCCTGAAGACCAGAGCGTCTATTTGGACCAGAGGACATTTCACAGGCCAGTGGAGAGACTACATCATGCCATCTCCAGCGCTCCGTGAAATATTTCCTTGGCAACAGGAGAAACAGCACTGATGCTGAGGGGCAAATTCTGCGGATAAAGCCAATCTGGAACAAAGGCTAACTAGATGCTGCCATATGGAGCTCATGATCGATATTCAGTGACACAGCAGACATGCAGCAGTGGTATTTAGGAGGAGTGTGAAGGGAAAAGGGTAGTGCAGACTACGAAATGTCACTCTCTATTTTAATTGCAGTCATCGGAGCTTTGAAGTAAACAATGCTGGAATTTGTGAGTGCTGTACACTTTCTGAGCTGCAACACGCAGAGCTCGGTGGCACTGATTCAGATCTAGGCTCAGAAATGAGAAATTTGATTTGCCATACTTCTCCATAATATTTCATATGTGCTGTCGGGACATTTGTTTACCAATACAGCAGTATTTACCATGATGGCTTCTTTGTTGCATATTTGCAAAGGCTAAGGTTGCTACAGTAAGCCAATTATCCACTGGTGCCATGTTACTCACTGAAGCAAGGGATCGTGTTTAAACAGCCAAAAGAGCGGTGTGTATCTACTTGTCTATTCATTTCAAATGCTCTAGAACCAATCCATTATTTTGTCTTGCAGCAGTTGAAATTTACCTATAATCTACTTGATGTTTATTTATTATATTACTGTTTACAGACTTCAAAATAAGGGTCAAGCAAACAAATGAAACAATAATGAGCTGGAGAGGATCTAATATAATATACTGTATGTTATTGTTTAAAAAAAAATGTAATTTCCCTACCTATTCACAGATGAAGTGAAGTGACATGTGGCCAAGTATGGTACTTTGAATTAGTGCTCTGCATTTAACCCATCCAAAGTGCACACACACAGCAGTGAACACACACACACCGTGAAAACACACCCGGAGCAGTGGGCAGTCATTTTTGCTGCAGCGCCCGGGGAGCAGTTGGGGGGGCTCGGTGCCTTTCTCAAGGGCACATCAGTCGTGGTATTGAAGGTGGAAGAGGGCACTGTACATTCACTCCCCTCACCTACAATCCCTGCTTCCCCCACCTACAATCCCTGCCGGTACGAGAATCGAACCAGCAACCTTTGGGTTACGAGTCCGACTCTCTAACCATTGGGCCACAACTTCCCAATTTATAATTTTTAACTGAATTAAATTTGCTATTAGCAGATGCCATTATTATTATAACTGGTATTTTTCAATTGCAATTATTTTTGTCATTGAAATTTTTCTTTCTTTGTTTCTTTGTTTCCTTTCTGCCATATTTTCTTATGGAGCTACAGTACTTTTTGAAACAGTCACCTTAATTGTAAATTCATGTAATTAACCACTCTTGAACTGCTGAAATTATCTCATTTAAATTCTGATTGGCTGAAACTAGCTGCAGGATCATGCTATCAGAAAAAAAAGGTACAAAGCTGTCACTGGGGTGATAAACTAAGATACAAAAGCTGAAAGGTACATCTCTCTACCTTATTTACCCTTAAATGATACATATTAGGACTTCAAAGGTACATGTTAGTACTTCAAATCTACATATTACTACTTTATAAGTACATACTGGCACGTAAAGTGCACATAGTACCTTTTTAAAGGGTCCCACCCCTGTGACAGTTTTGTATCTTTTTTTCTTAGAGTGCAAATGGAAAAAAATATTCCAAGAAAGTTAATTTTAATGCTTTTGAGAGCCCTCAAAAAAGACTTGGGATCATGCACATTATCTCGTAAAATATAATGAAATATTAGCAATTTATGTGTTTATTTAATCAGAATGCATGTTACTGGAGATTTATTTATTTGTTTGTTTATTTATTCTTTTTTACATACAACTCAAATATGCTAACTACAGCCAAACTACTGGTAACAGAATAATAACTTGGTCATGAGAGGAGAGAATAACATTTCTGTGTCATATTAATAGTGTCGTCCTTATTCATGCTATATGGTTAATAAGCATGCAGTCATCACAGCTGTGGTTCATTATATTCTTCCTGTGGGAGATAATAATTAAAACTTTAAATCCTACACTAATGTATGAAACAGACGCTTCACACGTCGGTGACTTCACCTGAGCGTCACACACTGGGCTATCACACAGAACCGAAAAGAGAATTAAACCTTATTCAGAGTAGACATCTGTCAAACAAGCTTCATCTAACTGCCAATTTCTCATCCTGAAAATTACAAATTAAATAAGTTGAAAACATTATTTGTCAGCCCTCGTAAGGGCAACAGCTGATCATAAAATATCATGAATCAACATGCAATTATCTAGCATAAGTAGCAAAAAATAGCATAAGTAAAACAGGGGATTTAGATATTTCACTTAAAGCAAATGCCTTTTGCTTTCTGCATTATATTGTACAGAAATGTCTGTTGCATCATAAATATATGTTGCTTTTTCTGTTCATAGATTGACCATAAATGCTGAGTGCCAGCTTCAACTGCATAACTTTCCTATGGATGAACACTCCTGCCCCCTCATCTTCTCTAGCTGTGAGTATCTCTTCTCTTTATGCTCCACGTATTCATTCAACTTTACATTTCCATTTCCTTTAAAGACCCTTTTTCTTCTTTGTTTTAAATGTTTTGGTTATCGTTTGTTCTGTTGTACAAGACAACCTTAAGCATTCATGTACAGCAGTATCAACATGCATTATGAAATGCTTTATTTGAAGTAAATCAGCACAGTGTTGCATATGCAACTTCAATCTTTTTGAATGGACAAAACATTTCTCGCTCATTCGCCTTTCATGCTGTAAATGTTCAGTTTAGATTAAACAATATAGCCTAGGATGTCTTTGAAATGTACACATATCTTCGGGAACAAGTGGGAATGGTCTGGAAATCCACTTTAGCCATTGATTTCAATGGATGTTTTTATTATACCACTTCTTTTTTTCATAACAACAAAACCTATACTTTTCTATTTTCAAATAATAGCAGTAAACAAAACTTACCGCAAAAGCAATTCAGGCTATGACAATATATCACATGTGAAAGAAGCCTTTACTTTGGAATCACAGCAGCAAAAAAGGTAGTCTAATTTTTAAAGTGGAGAAATTGAAAAACTAAATAATATAAATATTTTGGCACAAAAAATTCTAACATTATATATGGACTTCAGGGCAAAAAATAAATAAGGGGAGAAATGACCCCTTTAACAGAGAAAGACAATATTTAGCCTGTAAAACTGCATTTTATGTATAATATTTCTAGTGCACTGTTCTAATGGCAGACGTGGCATTGCTGTAGGAAATGTGTCACCGCTAATTAGGATGTTATGCTTTATGATGTAATATCTCATTTTTGCTCTCCATATATTCTCTTATATTGAAAGTAGGCCATGGATTTCATTGTATACACCAAGGGCACGGATAGGCTGGTAATTACTCTGCGTGTCCGACAGGCTCTTGAAGGCTGGCTTCATTAGCAGGGTGTCATGAATGACATTACTCAAGGGTGATAGGTAATAGGTGATGCATCTGTGGTGTTAAGAGTCCAGGCAAAGAGGGACGTAGGTAAATTGGAAAAGTTTGTGTCCTTGTGTAATGTGATTTCTCACTTCTGTTTCTCACTCAGCCTCTGCTTCTACCCCCTAATACACATCAGGGCTCTCTGCTCTTCTCAAAATGTTTTTTGTCATACTCATTTGTGGATCCATGCTCAGAAAGTCAACACCTATTTACAGAAAGCTATGTTTTACATCACACCCATTTTCAACAGTAATCTTATTAGAGTTTGTGTGGCAAGCACTAACTAAAGGCGTTCTTCTAAAAATCAATGTTTTGTTGAGAGAGAGCTGGTATTATCAATGTTTTTACAGTTGTTTACTTAGTAGCTGCATTATAGAAAATTTAGGGAGTTCAAATTCAGAGTATTATTTTAACTAGATAATTATTGATAGTCGCCTTTGTACTTACTGCATGGCACATTTGTTTATGTGTATTTACTCATAGTTGATAATAACTTTGATTTTGCACACTTTCTGAAAGCTTGGCCCTGACTGTATTGAGACTTGAAGGACTGAAGAAAGTCCTGCCTCTAGAAATATTTTGGGTTGCTCTTTCATTGCCATGGAGACTTTTGATCTCAGGCTTGGTTTAGTTCTTTTGGAAAATAGTTTGTGACATTGTTGACATCTCTTCCTCCCCAAGAGGTACTAAAACATGTTCCAGGGGCGCTTGGAAAGATTTTTAAATATATAAAGTAGACTATGACTCTGCAAGAGCGTTTTTTTACTTGTCTCACTCAAAGTGAATCATTTTAATAATGGTCATTGTTATGCTAATGATAAAGCTAAGTAGTATCCAGTATAATTTGAGTTCAATGAAACAGATTTCTGCTTTGGTGTCAGTGAAGGGGTACTTGATTCTTACTGATGGCGCTGTAAGGAATACAAAAATGGTTGCGAAGACACTGCTCTTGAGGGAAAATAAACATCTGAAAAGCAGGAGACATAAGCTAAAGTCTCATTTGGTCTGTATTTAACTGTATTGACTCAATCAAACATTAATTCATTATGTGTTATTGTTACTTTCCTTAAACTTTCAGTTTTTTATATACACTATTAATTTATCTCATAATTAGCCAATTGATGACCATGCATCTCAGAAGGTCTGTCTGTAAGTTACTTATTATATCAATTCTTGAAGTTGGTGTACAGGTTTGTTTTAGGTTTTAATTTGTTCTGAATTGAGGCACTCAATTATTTCTAGCATTTTTAGAGCAGAACACATTTATTTTTGTCTTAGACTAGAGCGTGTTTTTATTGAAAAAATGTGATTTTTCCTTCTCAGTATTTTTGTTTTGTTTTCCCAGTACAAACATTATTAAATCAATAGACATTTACTGTATATTAGAAGCAATATGACATACATTTTTTGAGATTTTTTTCAAAATTGAGTTTGTGCTTAAAATAATTTTTAAAAAATCTGTCATTTTGCTTCTCAAGTAATTTATTGATTTAAGAATGTTTAAATATTTGTACTTGAAAACAAGACGAAAAATACTGAGTAAGAAAATCCCTTTTTATAGTGTTATTATAATGTGCAGATTTATGCACTTTGAAGGGCTTCATTCGATTATTTAATTTAATTTTGTTTTATACAAGATACATACAAAACATATAGAATATCTTGCATGTGTATCTGATTTAACCTAATCACGCACTGCCTCGTCATGCAACTCCAGATTGCTGTGGGAATTGCTTCAGTGAAGGTATGAATTTAGATCACTGAGGGAATCACCTGCCTGGCGCTGTGAATCTCAGTCTGTGAGTTTGAATTGGAGCAAAACCGCCGATGTAGAGATGTCAGAACGGCATTGTAAGTAGCTCATAAGAGATGTTGTAGATCTCCACTCTCCCCCCGCCATGCAGGGATGCATCTTGACATAGATGACATCCTTTATGCTGTATAAACCATCTGTCTTATCTGTCCTGCCTCTGTACACTGCTGTGTTTGGCACTGATCCCTAAGATGCAGGCGCACAGCAGAATTTGTGGTCCTCCAGTGTTGGACAATGTGCTTAAACAAATTGTTTAGTTTTTCTGATGTGTAATATCAGACAGTCCTTATTGCACTGAGCGGGATGGGATCAACAAATGTTGGACGTCAGAAAAAATGGGTCAAATATATGTAGAAATAGCAATGTCATTATCAATTGCAAGAGATAATAACAGTCATTAATTACTACTGCTTACACTTACACCTCTGATGTATGGCTGTATAATGAAGTTTTGTAGTAGGATGCAGTGTTACTACTAGAAGTGCCAGGATGTATATCAGGTTTTATATAATAAGGTAATTCAGTTGAGGCTTCTTAACAATGGATGTGAGCAAGATTTCTTTTTTTAAGAGTAGAATTTAAATTATTTTTGTCTTGTTCCTAAACCTTCTCCGCATGGCCTCTAAAACACAGCAATGGTCCAAATTTTCACTGTTGAGGAAAGGAGAATGAGCTATAATAAGCAATCCCTCAAGCTTCTGGACACCCTCAGTCCTTTTCTTCACCTCTAAGCTACTTTTTTCCATTTCCCTGCAGCATTCGCCATTTGTTTTTGAAAAACCAGCACTGGGTTCCAAGCCCTGCATTTTAAATTCAGTTGATATGCAAATGAAGGTTAATGCCCATCAGGCAGGACCTTGCGGACCTTCTCATGTTAGCGGCCACACAGGAGCGAGCGTACCCGGACTGAAATGCCTGCCCCTGTATCAGTCACAAAGAAAATGGTCCCCCATCTGCACCCGAGAGGAGCAATTTGCCAGAAAGGTTATTTTAATATTTCACACCTCACTGCCCAGCACAGCAGCTTGTCCTCTAAAGCATATTTAACAGACTCAAACATACAGTGCTATAGTCCCTGTGTGCATAAACAAACATACAAATGAAACACTCCCCAGCCAGTGTGTCTGTACCTGCCCTGCAGGGAATGAGAAGCTTTCAGGTGTTTAGCAGACCTGACACCAGGCATCTAGCAGACCTGACACCAGGCATCAGGTTTGTCTGCTCTGATCCGGCTGAAGCAAGCTGACGAGAGCAGTGAGCACCTTTCTACCTGTGTTTATCAAAGATGTCACCTGCCTCAAGGCTATGAGCTTTCACTGTATATCTAGTGACATTAAAGTGGCATATATTTTTATTTATTCATTAACATTTTTGGCTTTTATTTCATTGGAGTGAGGCTAGAAAGTACTTGGAACAGACAAAAGGGAACATGAAATGATGGGGGCTCGACAGGCTGATTTTCAAATATAACACTTTTTAAAAGGATATTTCCCCCAAAAATGAAAATTCTCATGTATGACTGACTTTCTTCTGTAGGATACCAAAGAATGTTAGGGTCCAAACTACTTTCATTGTACATGGCAACATAGGCTCATTGGAAATACGTGGTTCTAAATTCATTTCTGCAAAACTGAAAAAATGTACCTATACATATGATTCGCTGCAGTTTCCAGTTGAAATAAAAACTAGAGGCAGTAAAACTCAGACAACTTTTGTTCCTTTTCAGACAAAGTATGATTTGCTTTTCACATAAAGCCTAATTTTTGCACAATTATTTGAGAAATATAATGTTATGAATTAATTAATTTTTTAATGCTACAACATTTGAAAACTTATACTTTTGAACGTTAGCGTCACATATCCAGCTTCATATGTATGTTTTTTTATATTCTATATTTAGGTTTGCTCAGTAGCTCACGCAACTTGAGAGGTGAAGAGCACGGGTATGAATCCCGTGAAACTATGGTTCCACAAAACAGTTCAAACCTGCATATAAGGAAGTTCAAATGGCACGGTTGCATCAACAAATCCGTTTTTACTGTATACTAGTTTTGCATTTGTTTACACTATTGGGTAGGTTTAGGGTTGGGTTTGGTGTAGGGGATTTTTCCAACGTGATAGAGCGTTAACTTTTAACGACACTACAAAAACAACATAATATCAATGTAACAAAAACTTGCCAGGGTCACGTATTTGAACCCGCGTTT